GACAATTGGCGAGACAGACTATCTGGGCTACTTATATAGCTTGGATTTGATTATATATATTGCTTTATGCTTTTGGCCTTGTTTTTTCTTATTTACAGGGTATCTTATGTGCATGCTACTGGCTGAATTGGTATGGAATTATTCATTGTTTATGTTTCACAATTGATTTGGCATATTCGTTTGTCACGCAGCTGGAAGTAATGAATAATTCAGATTCTTTGCCTTTCCCTCATCGCAAGCAGCTGGAAAGGAGAAGAGAAGATACAAATTAGATGCATATAGATAGGAACTCGCCTCCTAGGGTCGACTGATGAGTCAGATTCCTATATACATATATTGAGGAGCTCATTCTCGCAGCTCTCGCATTAGCGCGTGTGACACTGATCAGGAGTTCTGGGTTTAGCTGCACCCGTCGGATGCTTTGGCATGTGGCTGATGCGATAAGATTGCAGTTGTGAGGAACCGTTTCGCTATTTTTCGAAAGCATATATACATATATAGATTATAAAACATTAATATAAAGTGCCCGCCTCTACATATAAATTTATTACAAATTCGTTTGCCTCCGCGATTAGGGATGACTGTGATAAGCACGTCGAGCTGAAGCCATTCGGCTGCCTTCTGCCTTCTCTTCCACCTAATCGCAGATATGTAATAATTGCCTTTAAACTGTTAAGGCACAGGTGTTTTATGTTTTATAGGCTTCCGTCTGGTCTGCCACCTGATTTATAAACCATTGCCACTAGATATACAGCCCCGTCTGCAGCTGCGAATCTGTCAATCATAGCACAATATGTTCATCGTGACAGAAGTCAGAAGCCCTAAACTTTCGTGGTCGACGGGCCCTACCTTAAGCTCAAAGAAGTGGGTTAGTGGCACAAGAAGGGAGTGCGCTATCATCCAACTTTTCGATGCACATAGATACAGCCAGACATATTCCCGAATGGCGTGGCACGAGGCTTTAATCACATATTTATAAATGGCATAATATTCATAAACAAATGGCGACCGTAAACAATTAAATAAAAATATTTTGCCAAATTCCTCTCGGCAACAAACGCAGATAGACAGACTGAGAGAGCGAGAGCGCGAGCACGAGAGGAAGAGAGAGAGAGAGAGAGAGAGAGAGAGAGAGAGAGAGAAGCAAACTGAGAACGCACGCGCGCTCAATAGATACAGAAGCAAGAAAGATACATATACACTTAAAGATACATATGCTGATTTATTGTTTCTATTGTAGTTCTTTATATATTTAAAGAAACTGTTTCTATGGCAGCGCTTTAAACATATATGTATGTAGATGTGGATGTGGATGTGGATGGAGCTAGCAGAACTGTATATCTCAGCCAGCTCAAGCTGAGGGGGGAGATTAAGGAGGTAGTTCAGTAGCTGGTGGTGGAACGAGGCAGAGGGTGGTCAGGTCAGGGGTCGACTGCATTTTGTTTATCCGCGGAGGGAGTTGCAACTTGCAAGGCAACTACCACCTCTTGCAGCGTAATAGCTTATAATAGCATAGTAGCAACTGAAGCGAACGGAGTCACTCGCAACGCAATTCACAATTTTCGAATTGTTTTACTAAAATTTTAGTTTGCAGCCGTAGCTCACCTTAATCACAATACACGAGTTCCAAGAATTGCTGGCGCATAAAACTTGTTTTTCTCTGATTCTGTTTTTGTTTTTCTTTTTTGCCACACTCTCAACAGATACGTTCTCTGTCTTTGGTCGGCTGTTTGCTGTTGGCTATTTGCTAGAGATGCTCACGCTTTATTTTGGGCTCACTTTATTGTCAAATATTTCATATAAATTCGGCTATTGGTGAAGCACACACAAAAAGAGCTTTTGTTGCTATTTCTATTGCTGCGTCTCTCTCACTTTGAATACGTAATTGTTTTTGTTTAAACTGCGATGTGAACAGCGGACTCCGAACTGCGGAGCACACCCAATAGAGCATATCAAGCAGGCTGCTGCCTCCTCCAGAGGAATCGCAACTGTTTGGTTCCTGGTCTAATTTAAGAGACAGCTCAGCACATCACAGCACAGCTGGCTGAACAAGGTACAAAACGTGTTTCCTTCGGCGGATCACGCGACGAGTTTCCCCAGCGACGCTCGATACAAGCAACTTGAGCGCACCGCGAACGAAAAAGAACTGAAACTGTGAGCGTTGCTAATGCTGCTGCTAAGCTACCCAGCGTCGCTCTTTGTCTGTCTTTTTCTGCCCTCTCTCCCTTCCTCTCTTCATCTGATAGCTGTGTGAATCGGATATGTGTGCATGCGTGTGTGTGAGTCCGCATTGCACATGTGGGGGAGCAGCAAGTACGACGAAAACACGACACGTACGTTTCGTCAATGGCGGGAGAGAAAGAATGAACGAGAGAGAGCAAGAGCTCGTGGTCGCTGCTCTTGCTCCATAGAATGGTTCAGCTTCTGCTGCTGTTGCGCTGCTGCTGCGTCGTCATAATTGCTTGCCACGCTGTAACCGCCTTTGCCCCTGTGTGTGCGTGCCAAAATGGCCTGCTGCAGTCTGCGCAGTGCGCATGTCTCGCTTCACCATGTGCATGTGTATGTGCGTGTATGTGTTTCAGCTGACTGCGAACAGCTGATCATAAACAGAAAACAAACGTTTCACATGCTGCACTTGGGTTGAGTGCAGCTGCACTCAAAACTGGTTCCTTCTTTGTCTGCCTCTCTTTTGCTTGACGATGCGTCAGCTGCACTTGCAACGGCTTCAATTGCTGCAAACTTTGAGCGGATATAATATTGCACGGGCTAGTCTGAGAAATTCTCGATTTTATCGTGAACACACTTACGTATATATCGTTGAGCTTAATACCGAATAAGTTAGGGACTATAGAAGTATAAAAATTAAAGCGAATCTTCTGACATGGGATCTCCTCATATTCATATACATTATTCGTTAGCTCGAGGTGTTGAAACTACCCTCGTAATGCATAGCAGTTTCTCTGAAATATTGATATTGCCCTGTCTGACATTTCATAGCGATCTTTGAACTGCCTAATGCCCGTTGGGTTGACAGAAAACAAAGCACGTCTCGATCGACATGAATAAAAATCCAAAACAAAAACAATTCTGATTTGCGGCGGAGTAATCGCATGAGCAATTCGTGTGAGTACACTCGCACTCATTTATAACGATCACAAAGCCACACATACATACATATATACATACATATATCATTCTAACTCTCAGCCTCAGCGGCCAAAGTTCGGAGTGAGCAAGCCTGACTTATGCATGTAACACACTCATACATAAGCAACATTAATACGTACATACCCACATATGTCCTAGCTTACCCACATACACACACACCCGCCCGAATCACACACGCGTCTCCAGGGAAAAGCATGACGATGCTTTTAACATTGAATATATTTGATTTGTGTGTGTGCGAATAGACATTCTCATAAAATATTGTTAATGTAAATGAAACGCAGCTCAGCTCTAATTCTTATCAATTAAAATTTGTTCTAGCTGTTGCGCGACATCCCTTCCTTCAATCGAAAGAGAGCCTTATCGTAACCTTACGCACTATAGCCAATAATAATAAAATTCCACTATTCTAACTACATACATATATTGCGACAGGGAGTCCGTTCCGTTTGCGAGTAGCTTGAAAACCAAACGAATCTCGTAGTAATTCTGATTGGAAATGTTCTGCAATTAAGTGTCGAGGGAGGGCTAACGGAGAGTGGCTTCAGACCTGGGTGTTTTAGAAACTGAAATACGATGACAATATGCATATCATGCGACTTTCCAGTCCCTTGAAAACAATATGCATATTGCGATATTCGATGCGTGGCAGAGTCGGATTGACTCGGATAACGGCATCAAAGCATCGCGAGTGCAAAACATTTGGCGGTTAAGTGGGTTAAATAAATTGAACCTTAATAGTCTCAGCAGCAGCAGCAGCGGATGAAGCCAAATAGCTCTGAGTGCATGGCATTTGGTCCATGCGGCAATAAAGGCCAATTGGTTGCATTGCCACTCGCCGGTGCAACCAGGTGTTTTTCTCTCTTTGCGGCGCCTGGGCGTGAGCTGGAGACGACCATCATAATGGCAGCAATTAATAAAAAATTGTTTGCTGATTTTTTTAACAAGCCTCAATGTACTTGGTATTGATTAATTAGATTGACTAATTAGCATTAAGTTTTTATGACGCCTTAAAACTTATTCGTTTCCGAATGATTTGTCGCAGTTAACTAATCCGAAACCGAACCTGCAATCGAAAACGAAGTCGAAGCGAAAGCTGAAGTCAAGTAGTAGGGGCTCTCAAGTAGCACCCAATTATAAAGAAATAAGACCGATAAGCCAATAGCATGTATACCCATGTTATCCAGACCTGATAAATGTGAACTTAAACTATAAGTAAACAATAAATGAGTATTTAATGCCAATAAAAGAGAAAAGAGGAATATTGTAAATATCAAAACCTGTAGTTTGTACCCATATAAAATTGACCAATTATTCTGAAAGTTAACCTTAATTGTAGCAAAGATGAACGTGATGATAATGGAGTGATTACAGAGCCCGATATCATAAAAGAAAATGTATATAAAATTTATACTTGTACCATACATACATATATAAATATTTTTCGCAAATGACGATTATGGGAAACATAAGATTATATAATGTCAGTATTTATTGTGTGTACAGTGTTTTGAATATTACATAAAACTTGGGTTCATCCATTCCAAAATTAACGCAAAGAAAACGCTGTAGACACGTTAAAGCTTTCAATGAATTCAAATAACCGAAGCTTTTTTTCCGAAAGCTTTCGACCATTACTATGTTTGCCTATATCGCCATCGCCGTCTGTCACATTATATACTTGAGCGTATTGCTCGCCCTTAAGAATAGTATGTGTGAAAAGGACAGCACTATATGGTATCCACTTCAAGTGCTGCCCATAAGGCGGTCAATTCAAAATCGTATTTTAAATTTCATCCGAGTTTAATATCTGATGCTCAAAAGATTATATTACATTACATTAAGAAATTAGTAGATTTTATTTTTACAATTAGAAACTAGAAATAAATTATAAATCAGTATTGTAAATCATCGGCAAAAGTGTTATTCTACAATCCATGCTCCTCCCCATCGTTCCCATCATCGTCCTGGGTCAAGTGTTGCTTTGACTTTCTGCTGCCCTGCTGGAAGATCCACGTGATCTGCATCTCTCAGGAGGCGGTGCGTATTTTGTTGCTGTCTCGCTCTTGGTCGCTGTCGCAGTCGCCGCTCTCGGCTGTGTCCTCGTCGCAGCTGGCTCCTTCATTGACGTTGCTCCGGGCAAACAGATGGAGGAGGCAGCTACGTTTCACGTATAAAAAAGCACACAGAGCGCAGAGTAGAAATATAATGCCCACCGAGCTGCCAATTATCAGAGCCCGCACTTTGCGCTGCGAGGGCACTTCGAGAAATAGCTCGGGACTAGCGACTTCTTGGTTCTCAGCCCCGACCGCGAGCACTTGTATCTTGAAGGAGACGTCTTCCTTTAGATATCGCAGCTGATAGAAGTTGTCGAAGGTCTCAGCTGTCCCAATGAGGAAATGCTCCGGTTCTTTCCACCAGCGCACGGAATAGTGGCGCAGCGTGTCGAGCCCCACTGTCGGATGCTCCCAGTGCAGCAGCCAGCCCTGAGGGGTGCTCAGCACACTCAGGTTCCAGGGTGCACCCAGTCCCCCAATGGTCGATTGGCGACTCTGTTGGTGCTGCAATTGCTGTGCATCTAGCTCTGACCCTTGTGGCGGTGCTGGAGCAGAAGAATATTTTTTGAGTCGAATGTTAGTGCTCTTTCCCTGTCTCACTAGCAAAGCGTTCCTCTCTTTCTGGCCGTAGGGAGTGCAGCATGTGGGAGTGAGACAAACCTAGTGTGCATCGCTTGTCAAGTGCTGCCCATAAGGCGCGCGATTCAAAGTTCATGTGAAAAGTTTATTTTGCAGTAAAACTAATTAGCTATTCTTTTTGCCTCCCTCCCTTTCTGTTCGCTAGACACACTTCTGGCCCTCGCCTCCTACAGATTCTATGCAAAACATAAATTGATTGAGATAAATTTTACTTACGTTTCGTTTGGAAACGGAACGGCTTACTGAACATGCCATCTCCATATTTGTCCTGGCTAAGTACCATGAATTCGTATTCTCGTCCAGGCAGCAGGTGCTGCACAGTGGCCTCCATCTGGGTCTTTTCGAGAACGCGCAGCGTGCGCCATTCCGGGGCATCGCTGAGGCGGTACCAGACGGTGTACTCAAGGTTGGGTCGTAGATACCCTATGGTGAAGTGGGCAAAGTGCAGGGTATGCAGGGTATGAGGAGCTATTGCTCGGGCAGAACTAATGCTGCTCACCTGGCTGCCAGCGTATGGTAATGCAGTTCTCCGTGCTATTCGCCGTCAGGTTGTAGGGTGGGCGTGGCGCCGTGTTCTCAATCATCAATTCGGCTTCGGCAGTTATTGTTGCAGCTTCATTGGTCGCCGAGCACTCATATATGCCCCGGTCCGTCTCGACCAGGTTCGTGATGGTCAAATTGCCGCCGCTAAAGCTGTGCCGCTCCGCTGGCAGTGCCAGGCCATCTTTCTGTATATGTGTGTGTGTGAAATTAGTTAAAATCAGAAAATGAATGCGACTGCGACTGCGAACGCGAAACGCTGAATTGGTCCACACTCCACAATGTGTGCGTGGAGCATGCATATTTCAAAACGCAATCAAGCATAACTGCAGCAAGGCCAGGCAGGGGGTCAGGCAGCAAGGCGACGGACAGGCAGGGGAATGGAGAGTCCGACGCGGACTCGAACTTACCCGACTCCACACAATGGTGGGGCGATTGTTTCCGTCCCGGTCGATGGCTTCGCAGGGCAGCTCGGCCGTCTCGCCCAGCTTCTGTATGTAAATCGCCTTCGGTGTCACGCTGAATATGGGTGGGCGCAGCACAATTACGCTAATGATGGGCGAGGGCCCGTCCGTGCCGAGGTCGTTGTAGGGCGTGCAGGTGTAGCTGCCAGCATAGTTCTCGTTCACCTTGGAGAAGAACAGGCTGCCGTTCATCTTGTAGAACACCCCGGGCACGTTGTACGAGTCGAATAGCAGGCCGTCCTTCTCCCACCGCAGGTTCTTCAGCGGCGGATTCGCGCGGAAATGGCAGTCGAGCACGGCCGGCTGACCGTAGGGCAGGTAAACCTCGGGCGGTGCATAAATCACCTTGGCCTTATCTGTGCACAGTGGAGGAGGAGCAGTTAGAGAGATTATTGATCTGACCAGATCTCGGATCACTCACATTGAATGTTGAGAAAGGCCTTGGCCGTTTGCAGTTCGCCTTCGTTGCTTCGCACCTTGCACTCGTACTCGCCCAGGTCGCTCATCATGGTCGGGTCGATGCTGAGGCTGCCGTCGGGTCCCATGAAGGAGCGACGGACCAGGTCCTGCACCTCCTGCAGCAGAACCCCATCCTTGTACCAGGAGGCCTGCGAGCTGTCCGGATACTTCATCACGCAGTGGAAGAACGCCGTCTGGCCCTCCATAATGGTCTGGTTCACGGGCGGAATTTTGATCAGGGAGCCGCCCTGCACGGCCAGATGATAGCGCGTGCCGTTGTTGCGCACGCTGGGCGACCGATTGGGGAAGATGATCTGGCAGTGGTACCAGCCCTGGTCAGACTCGCGTATGGCAGTCAGATTGATCGAGGCCCTGCCGAATTCACCTGGCTGGCTGACCAGGTGCAGTCGCCCGTTGAATAGCTCATTTGTGGATGTCTCATTTTCATACCAAGTAAAGATCTTTTTGTTCTGCGAGGGACGAACAGAGATGAAAAGAGGTGAATAACTATAATGGGAATTTATGTGTGTGTGTGGGTGGGTGGCTGAGATTCAATCTATATGAAATGCAATGCAATTCGGCAATCATTATGATTCGATTTGCTGATAAAATTACAATTACAATTCCCGCTATAAATCATGTATGGCCAACAACACAAACACAAACGCCCACACACACACATGCATATATGTAGACAGATATCCGCACCCACGCAGCACATAATTGAGCGCAGTGGCAGCCCTGACAATGTAACAGTTTGTGATGTATGTGCGAGTGTGTGTGTGTGTGTGTGTGTGTGTGTGTGTGTGTGTGTGTGTGTGTGTGTGTGTGTGTGTGATTGTTTACGTTGCACATATAGAACAATATCTGAGCATTCATACAGCATTATAATTTTCGCAAACACCCGCTGCGCGCACAGCTGGCAGCGCCCTTCGCTGAGGCAGAGACAGACAAAGCAGAGCCAAGGCAAAGCCAAAAGCAAAAGCAAAGCAAAGCAAAGCAAAAATCTTGCCACAGAATGTGCGTATAGAGAGTGCATATGCTTAACTATGATATAATTATTATCATTTAACTGAACTAGTCTGAAACTAATTGAAGCCTCTCCATTTGCGGCTAAATTGAATTTGAAAAATTGTAACTGAATACAAGAATTTCGCATTTCGTTTTAATTAAAGTTGAATAGATTTGTCAATATTTGTGAAATACATATTGTGACCAGATCGAAATTAATTGGTTGGGCGAAAAAACGGCTGATGCTGTTTGGATAGGCGCTGGGCAAACACGCGCCAGGAGCGAAGCTAAATTAAAATTATTAAAATTCTGCAAGCCCGGACCCTGCCCTGCGACCCGCTTTAAAGCGAAGCAATATTCGTTTTATTACATTTTACGCCTGCATTGTTTGTGCGGGCGGTCGGATGGGTGGACAGGTGAGCAGGCGCGCAGGTGGGCCAGCTATCGACTAATAAACCGCATGCTAGGGATTTGGTTGCCTGTCGGTTGGTTATTGATAGCTGGCGACCGCAGCAAGTGTCAGGCCCGATGCAATTTGATAGCTCCAATTGTGCGCTGCTCGCGATCTATTGACATTATTTGTCGACTATACGCCTTTAATTGAATTCGCCGAGGAATCCGGATGGCGCATCAATGTCAGTCAGCACTTAGCCGCCAGATTGTCACTGGGAGACAGGGCTGCGCGTTGCATCATTTTCGGTCTCTACTTAAAGCCACCCGAGAGGGAGTCCAAGTACACCCAGCTGTGTGTGTGCGTGTGTGTGGGTGTGTGGGTGTGTGTCAACTGGCGTCGCCATCTGCTGCCTCAGCGCACATTTATCAACATTATCTAACAAATTACAAACGTAACTTGATTTATCCGGTAATTTTTTGCCGCTCGTCTACGTGCGCGAAAATTCGCAATGGCCGTGAAGAGTAGTTTTTGATTGCACACACACACACACACACAGGCACACACATGGGCATTTGCATAAATATGTTGTTTTTATCGTTCAATCACTGTGGGCAGCACAGATGGGCGCAGAGGCTGCCCAAAAAATTCATAACTGGCATTATGCATATGAGTAGCAATAACAACAAGGCCTCAGGTCTTGGCTAACTTTCTACATTCGTTTGATGCCAGACGAATCGGAAATTTCAATTATTTAACTATGAACAGAACTAGACCAAACAATAAAAAGCCTAGGTAATATGAAATCAATCCATTCGAATCGCCCGACTTGGAGATACCCCGCTGCAGTGACTTTCTTATAATCAAATGTCCTCCACACCAATTGCCTATGACACATCAGATTGACAGACGCAGACGCTGGCTCAACTCAACTCGTCGTGATCTAGACTATAAATAGACAGATGAGGTCTGACACACCATCTTCTTCCTATTTCCTGATTTAAATTACTGAAAAAATCACCCCAAATTTGATCAAATTTTCTATCCATATATCCACACATTTGAAATATGAATATATTCATTAAGTTGAATGGTTTCCACAGTTCAAAATGAAATATAATAGCAATCGAACAAAAGTGTCGCAGTCGGCCTTGAAACAAAGAGTAAACAGAATCAGCTGAAATTCGGATTTAGTTTAGTTTCTAGTTTACCAAATGCCTGGCCTGAGTTAATTAATTCATCTGATATTTGGGGAACTGTGGCGCTTGCCCGAAGCGCGAGAGCGGAAAAAAGATGCGAGAGCAATTAAAGTGAATCTATCAAAATGACATCATGACCCGTTGACCGAGTGGAATTTTCTGCATTAATACAATACAATAAAAGAGTGAAAAAACAAAACCAGACTGAACTCTGTATGGGTATGTGTGTGTGTGTGTGTGCTTGTGTGAAAAGTGCCAGCAAATTAAGCAAGCATACAAATAGTTAAAAACATTTTGCGAGAGGCGGCAGACAGATGACGACGAACGACAGACGACAGACGACAGACGAGAGATGAAGCAGATTGCAGACAGCAGAGAGGCGCAGGCAATACGAGCCCCTAGCACTGGTTAGGGGCTGGGGGTTGAGTGGGGTTGTGGGTTGCGGGTTGCGCGTGAGTGTGAACTGAATAGTAATTTACTTGATTTAAATACAAACGTGCGTTCCTGCAAATAATTCGCAATTGAATTTAATTGCATTACTCACAGTTGTCAACAAAATGCCAACCATTCAATTCGATTGAATGCAATTGAAATTTATTTCAACAGTTTGCAGTTTGCAGCTTTCAGTTCGCAGTTCGCAGTTCGCAGTTCACAGCTCTCAGTGCGCCTGATGCTGTTTTTGTTGCGCTCCTCTTTGATGCCACACTTCACGTTCACACTTTGAAGGAATGGAATTATTTAAAGCGCAGCGCGTAAATTAAATTTCAATTTAATGCAGATACGTTACATCGCATCGAGTGTGCATGTGCAGGCGGACGGACAGACAAACGGAAGGACGGACGAACGGTTGGGGTCGTCTGCTCCGTTCATCCCTTTCGCATGTGCATTTAAGGTCGCGCACACTCATCGGCCAGCCATAAAGTCCCTTTTTAATGAATGTGAGAGCCCCGTTGCGCTGTTGCACTGTTGCACAGTTTCGCTGCGGACCGCCCAGCCGTTGCAATTAAGGCTAACCATGCGAATAGCATCCCACGCCACTCTCCCAGCCGCCCATTGAGACCACCCACGAGTGCGATGCTATGTGTGTGTGTGTGTGTGTGGTGTATGATAAATTAATAATTTCGACAATTTAATTTTAAAGTGCGTGTGGATTGGCGTGTGGCAGCAGATGCGAGAGATCGTAAGCGATACAAAATGATGACCACCTGTTCGTATGAGCGATATTGCAGTGCAAGGAAAATCGCGCATACGACCCGTTGTGCACGCATAACTTAGCTTGCGAGTCAGGAGAGTGCTCAACTTACGTCTTTGCTCCAGTGGACAATGTAAGGTATGGGCGAGTCGTATGGGAAGTCTATATAGCAATTGAAAACAACATGCGAGCCGACTTTGGCCTCCAGATTTGTCTGTTTACGATGATCGCGCGCGCACGCCACACAGGATGTGTTCATTAAGAGCGCCAGCAGCAGTAGCAGCAGCAGCAGCAGCTGCTTGCCTCCTCCTACGACATTGGCAGTTGACAGCCCATCGCAGCTCGCCTCCGCCTCGAGGCTCGATCGCATTTCCTTGCTCTCCTTTGGCATTTTGCAGAACACACGTATATTCGTTTTAGGGGTAGCTTAGCTTTGCACTCTGCACTGGCTAACAACTAGTGGCGACATGGCTTTCTGCTGTCAAGCCACAGCATTTCCTTGGCGATGTCTAATTGAAACGCAGTTAAACAGAAAACAGGTCAATTGAGTCTACGCACGCCGTTCCTTCGCCCTTCACTCTTCACTCTTCACTATGCACGCTTCACTCCTCTCTCCTTACTCTTCACTCAAGCACAACGTATTATGTATTATGGCAGCTCGTCTGCTCGTAATGTGATCCGCACGGCGCTTAATCTGCGCAATAAGTCGGAATTTCGACAAGGGGTCTGCGCTCTCGCCAACTGAACACGACGACTGGAGAAGCTCGACTGAAACTGAACAAATAGAACAACAAAACAAAACAAAGTGCGATCAGAAGGCAGAGCATTCTGTTCTGTTACGCGCGACGATGATTTTGTCAACATACCTACACACACACATATACATACATATGAAGCTATACATAGTGCAGTTGTAGTGAAAACCCATCTATGTATGTGCTCGCATTTACAACTGAGCCACTGTTGGGGCTACACACACACACACACACACACTTCAGTCCACTTTCACATGTCAGGCGAGGCTGGTCGCGCTCTTCCAAATTTGACATTTGACATACGCCCACGCAGCTGCTGAGCTCAGAGGCTGCTCTAATTAAAATTCGCTCACAATTCACTTTCATCGACGTTTAACCAGCTTGGTAATTGGGACGCTGTTTTCTATTGCATTTTCGTGAATTCCAATTCAATTAGTTGGACGTTAATCAACGCCTTCGCTGAGCCAGCGAGTGGGTTATGAATTTGAGGAGCAGCTCTGCCGCTGCCGCCTCTGCCGCTGCCGCCTCTGCCGCTGCTGCCGCTGCTGCTGCTGCTGTGTGTGAAAACTGCTGCACTGACTAATTGATGGAGCGTATCAAGAGGCGGCCCAGGTTCAAGCTTCCGGGTTGTCGGGTTGCCGGGGTCGAAAGGTGATTGCACCCAATGCACAAGTTGCGGAGTAATAAAAAGACAGTTATCTATTGTTTTATTTGATCAATTTCAAATTGTTTTTTTTTTTTTTTTTTAATTTTTTTAAAGTTTATTTGTTTAAAAATTTTGTTCATTTTGCTAATTTGTTTTTATAATTGTGTCTTGTGTTAATTACAATATATTTCGTTCTAAACTGATTTTTGTTGTACGTGTTTATATGCTGAAAATGCTGGGAAACTTTGGTTTTTGGAATGAAGTAGGTTTGGAATCAAGCGAATGATGATGATACGAGTGTGTGAACGCTAGCTGAAAGTAACCTGAAGAAAGGTGCAAATGGAAGGTAGGAAAGAATGGCAGGAAGGAATGCTGAGAAAGAAAGAAGAGAAGAAACAGTTACTGTTTTATACTCCGATAGTTATGTGTGCTTAAAGTTTTTCATTTCGATTTTTGTTGTTTTTGGTTTCTGTTTGTTGTTTTTGTTTTTTGTTTTGTTTCGAGTCGAGAAAGTTGAAGTTGACTGACGCACCTTGTCCAAAAATCAAAGTGGCAGACTAAAGCGTTTGATTTACTTACGAGTTAATTATTTGTTATTTTGTTTTCATTTTACTTAAAGTACATGCCGTTTAATTCAGTAGTTGTAGTAATTTATATCATATAAATAATTGTTTATATATATGTATATATAATTTGTTGTTAAAGTCCGTCACTTATCGTGTATATGTGTTTTCACTACGTTTCGCATCTGCGCATCTCTCAATGCCCTGCTCAGTTTTCAATTAAAATTTAATACATATTAATACGGCATACTTTTATTGTTAATTTACCTTTTGTTTTTGCTTTACTGGATTCTTTTGTCTTTTGTTAATGCTCAATTAAGTCATTAATTGCGTTCTAGTTAACAATATATATTTTATATTGTGTTATTAATTAATTTTCCTGCTTCTTTCATTCCTTCATGTGTGTATGAGCGAGAGTCTATGTTGTATGCTTTCCCTCCTACTCGATACAAAAGTCAACTTATCTTAATATTCTCGGTTAGCATTTACAATAATCGAACCTCGTTGTGCAATAACATTAGCAAGTATATATATATATAAGTATATATTCAATTCAGTTACGATTTCCGATTTCTGTTTGATAAAATAAGAAACCATTTCGACAGGAGCCTCTCGCAATAACTTTAGTAGAAATCAACGCTGACACGACGGGATCTATTGGGGAATTATTTGAATTGAAGTTTGCAAAATGGAAAGGCGTAAACAAATAATTATTCTTGAGATCATTTGAGTCAATTTACTTTAAATATTTTTAGTTTCTTTTTAATTTTTTTCCTTTCAACGATTTGATTAAATTGTATTTATATTATATAGTATATATATATATTATTATTAAATGTGTGGGTGTTTTTTTTTTGTTTTTTTTTTTTTTGCAATTTACATACATTATAGACACGGTATCATCGTCATCTCTTCTCACATCTTCATTCATTCCTTCTCTCTTTATTTTCGCTCTGGCAGTGTTTTGGCGTCAAGTTGTGTCAAACCATTCCGTACAATTTGTTTGTTTTGTTCAGACAAGTTTATCATTAACAAGTATTTACGTAATATTAACTGAAACTCATTCATCAAACATCCCATTAGCTCAAACGAAACATAGCTCTCACGTACTGAACACAATGGACAGGCGGACAAGAGACAAGAGGACAGGAGAAGGCTGATAATAAGCTGATAAATTATAGCAGTCATATTTAGTTATGCACAATCTCAATCTGAATCTGAATTTGAATGTGAATCTAAATCTGAATAGGAATCGGAATCGGCATAGAACTCCTGTATATTCTGTATATCTATCTGTTGAACACAATGCAATACGAATCCAATTTCCAATCATGAACAACTCAAAGCCGCTCTCTGCTTTCTTTTTAGTTTCAATTAGTATCAGAAGTTTAATAAATGTTAAGTAACATACTGTTAGGCCAGCTGCCTCAACTGTGGCTGTTGCTGTTAATGTTGCTGTTGCTGTTGTGTGAAACATGTTGCAGTGGATTAAATACTTTCCTTAACTTGCACTGGCAAAAGTATTTAGGTTTTCAATAAATATATCTTTCGAGTTAATTATTTGTGTGTAGCTCAACAGTAAACATACATACATATACATATGTATATATATACATATATATACAGCAGTTATAATTCAGTTTTTTTTTTTTTAATAATTTATAAACTGTTAAGTTGGCTTTCCTCTTTTTTTTTTTTTTTTTTTCAATCAATAATTTAATTATAAAACAATTTTTCTATATGTAATTTTTCAGAGTATTTATCGCTTTTATTTTAACATTTCGTTTGATCGTTTAGTCTAACAACTAAAGACTTAATCGCTATCATATATTCCGCTTTAATTACGTTAGTGTTAATGTAACATAATGTAAGCTTACGTTTGTGGATTTGTTTAATTGGTAATTGATGTTGTAACAGATCAATCTGTATCGCCTATGCCTTACCGTATATAAATATCTAATACATCATTTCTTTTGTTTTCGGTTTGTTTATAAATAATATTTTCATCTGCATATTGTGTTCAATTCAATCAATTCATATATGTAAATTGAGTTTTAAGTTATAATATGTGTTTCATAATTGCTATAGGTTTTTACCATAAATATTATACTTAAACGTTGCTATCATATTTTGCTCGCGTGCCTTCTTATAATGTGTATATCATTATTGAATGTATTTAATATGTACAAAAATTATCTCCTCTCTGGGTGTCCTATACTTGTATTTTTCGATTTTGTTTTCCGGTCTTCGATTGCTCTATATATCATAAAAAACTACTAATTGCTGGTTTTCCATTTAGGGGCCGTCTATATGTGGCTTTAAATACTTGTAGTTCATAGTATGACGATTGGGTTCTAACTTGGGTAACATACGATGTGAGCTTTGTTATTGCTGTATAGATATCATCTAATCTGCGGTCGACTTCGATTGCATGTTGTTATGGCTGCTGCTGCTGCTGCTGCTGCTATCTCATTCATTCTGTGCCTAAGCTGGTGCGGATATATTCTACGGGTGTACCTGTGCAAGACTCTGTCTCTGTGTGTGTGTAGTTGTTGTTTACTTTGCGGTCACATTTGCGATGTCAGTTGTCTGCTGTCTGCTGTCCGTTGTCCGTTGTCTTTTGTCAGCACACGCTCTCGATTTCTGGGCCACTAGTGCGCTGCATGGACTGGCGCTTGCGGTAGGCGTAGAACTCCTCTCGCATGGCCTGGAGCCGCGCCTCTACATTGTCGTAGCGGGGCAGACTGCGCAGCTTGCGAGCCATGGAGGCTCCATAGGTAGCCGAGCCACCGGTGGAGACGGCAGCCGCAGTCGAGGCATGCAACAAGCTGCCACTCAACGGGCCGAGTGTGTGGTGCGGATGGTGGTGGAAGGACGTCGCTTGGTGATGGTGATGATGATGACTGTGGTGCGGATAGTGATGTGTGTCTATGTGTAGATTGAGATCATCGCGGAGCATGCCAACGCCGCCCGTTGGCGTAGAGGCGCTGGGCGTCGGCGTGGCGGGGTCGAATTCGTAGTGGCCATCAACACTGCCCACGTCCACGGGACAGGACCTGGGCAGATTGTTATCCGTGGCTGCATTCAGTCGTGAGATCATTTCTAGCCAGTGCGACATGGTGTACGGCGGCGTCGGTAGCCCAGCCGAAGGCGGACTCGGCTGCAGGTAGGAGTAGTGGTACGGCTGCTGCTGCAGCTGCCCCGGCACCAGGGTTTGGGCTTGCGCCTGCTGGCTGCCCGTGGCAGCGATGTTCAGACCGAAGTAGGCCGAGTGCTTTGGCGGCGACGGCGGCGGGCGATAGGGCGGCAAAAGGCGCCACTCGCTCGTGCTGCCTGGGTGGTTCGACGTGTTCTTGGAGCCGAACCCACTGGAGCTGGACCGAGACTCGGGCGACGCTTCCAGACCCACGCCAGCGGCGTTGGCGGAGCCACGCAGAGAGAGGTTCAAGTCCGGCAGAGGCGACAGCAGTTCATGCTGCTGCCGGCTAAAGAGCCGAGAGTAGTGCCGAGGATACCAGCGGGTGCGCGGCCGGTAGCTCTGATATGGCAGCTGTGTCTGGTAGTAGTTGCGCCACGACGGCGGCGAGGGCAGCTGCAGTGGCACGAAGTGGTCCTCCAGTGGCTGCTGCGCCTGGTGGTACGGCTGCTGGCGACGGGTTTCCTCCTGGATGGTGCGCAGAGACGGCAGCTCCTGGGACTGGTAGCGATAGCGACTCAGGTTGCCTGCGCCGCTGATGTGGGATGTTGGCAGTGAACGCTCCGCGGAGTTGGGATAGACGGTGCTGAGATCGCTAAAGTGCGTGTGCTGCGACGGATAGCCGGCGCCGGCGCTATAGGATAAGAGCTGATGCTGATGCTGGTGCTGGTGCTGGTGCTGGTGCAGCTGCTGGTTGTGGCCGGGAGTGCTGGCCGGCGAGCTGGAGAAGATGCGCGATACACGAGACGGTGTGTAGAGCTGGGGCGACATCAGCTGCTGGCCCAGGCTGCCGCTGATCGTGTTGATGTGCAGAGGGCCATTGCTCGCCGAGTTCTGCTGCATGTTCCTGTAGATGTTGTGCACGTTCTGGTATCTCGCGCCAGTGACAGCCTCATCCCCGGGCGGCTGCTTGACAGCCCCGCCAATCTTCAGCAGGCCGCCCAAACCGTTAAGGAAACCCCGTGCGGAGTCGGCAGCCGACTGCAAGCTGACCTGGCTGGATGAGGCGACCAGTGGACGACGCCAGGAGGCGCGGGCTGTGATGAAGTTGCGGCGCGAGAGGAAGCCGCCGTCATCGCTGGAGGACTTCTGGGATCCGTTGCTGTTGCGACGCTCGAAGAGCGCGCCGTCGACCACGTCGACGCAGTTCTCAATGCTGTTGTCGTAGCCGAGGTGTGCGGACCGCCTCTTCCCTTCGTCCTGCACAACATCTTCGTGAATGTTGGGTGAGCTGTAGATGGAGTGGCAGTTGGTGCAGCGGTCGGGTGGCCAGATCCAGTGCAATATGGCAATGAGTATTGCAGTTAGACTTGATATTCGGGTTTGTTTGTACCTGCCCAATTGAAGAACCAGTTCAGTTAATATCCGCACAACATGCGCACACTCACATTCAATAAATACGCAAAGAAACAATGAATAGAAATCAAGAGTCTAGCCTACTGAACAGAACGGAACAGAAAGTGAAACTGAACTAGAGAAAATATTGGTTTAGTATAGAAAACATTGCTTACGATTTTGATTATGACAGGATGGACCTGGAACTATAAAAACGCTTTCATAATCACGATAGTGTTCAGTATTGCTATTGGTAGCAGCAAGAGCAGTGGAAGGAGTAGAAGTAGTTCAAGTAGATGTAGTAGGTGCATGGCAGAGGCCAATCAGTGTTTGGTTTTTAGTTGGTTTAGTGGGCGCATGAGACAGTTGGAAAATTTAGATGTATTTATTTAGTTATCTGTTATATCGTGGACTCATAGGAGAGCTTCATATATATGTATGCATATTCGGATACGGCCTAGACTGGGGGCGGAGTACTCACTTTTTTAAAGGCACTTGACCAGAGGATATGGAGCCCGTACTGCGATTGTGCAAATGATGATTATTGGCTGCAATGTTACGAGCATCTGTTATCCTGCAAGCTACCATGTTGAACTCTGTAAACGTATAATTTCTACAATTAATTTGGCGTGCAGCGTGAGCCATCCTATCCGGTAAATAAAATACGTACAGCAGCTACCAAGCACACACTATATTTACGAGCGCGTGTGTATATGTGCGCCAGTGCGAGCCAGGCACATATACAGACGCATCCACTACCATTTACACAATACGCTGTCCACATATGAATGCATATACGTACACACGATGTACATATGTATGTATGTAGGTATATTAAATACGAGTACCCTTGCGCTTTGGGCCAGCTGAAAACTAGCGCAAACTGGCATAACGTGCCTCGACTGGCATTCCGTCGGATCTGCTCTGAAAGTGTACCAAAATGTACCTATGCGTACATTGACTGGGTTGGCTCATCCAGGTGGGTACTGACGTATCTAAGCGTGTACCCAAATGTACCAAGAGTTGTACATAGACTGGAATGGGTCGGTACTCAGATTTCACACACACACACACACACATACACACGTAGGTACACGGTCGTTATGCCAATTTGCATGCCAGCCAGCAGCATCAGTGACAACAACAACAGCAACAACAACAAAGAGTGTGCTGTGGCTGTTAGATATTCCACTGTCACTGGCGCTGTCGCTGTTGCCGTATGAATGTAGTTTAAAAATTTAGCAGGTTAATAGATGATTACTTAGAGTACAGGCAATATACCCACACACCGATAGAGGCTAGACTAAGCAAGCTACGCACAAACTATGCTATGCAATTGTTAGTTTTATTGTAGGTTCAGTTTAGTAGCTAATTTGTGGCTAGCAATTACATATGCACGGTCAAAGAGACATCCAATTAGGTAGCTGGACAAACTAATTTGGCTGGGATTAGGTGGAAGCCTGCGAGGTGGGGCAAGTCGGATTCGTCGTCGTTGCCTATGACTACGGTTCGAGTGCGCATATAGCCCATACGACATACGATACTATAATGTATGTATTGTATACCCCACTTCCCGGACAGTACATATATGCGCCTATACGAGTATTCATACGTATGCATAACTATGCATAGCATGTGCTTTTCGCAGTATTTTATTTAGGATCGGGCTACGAAATGTTGGAAAAAAAAACAATGACACATGAAATGGCTTTTGAATGGGTCAGTTTGATAGTAGTGCCAACGAAAAGAAGTTACTGAGAACCAAATGTATGTAAGCCTGTTTGCAAATCATAGACGAACGAAAAACGAGTTGACATTATGGTAAACTTCAACAAAAAACGGATGACAAAAGGAGAAACGATAAGGGAAACCGTGAAAGGAAAAGGCTAAAAGGAAGGCTGCCCACATTGTCGGCCGAAAGTTCGACCAGCAACTGGGACAGCCGAACACAACATGATTCAAAGTAGTTCAGATAAACGAGTGTAATGTGTTGAGTGAGTTTTTTGTTCTTTACTATTGACATCAAGTACATAATTATGAAGACCGTGAAATGAGTTTTGCGGTGCCGCCTGTTGTGGGTGCTTTTCGGATACTTAAGAAAGTGTGATTGGTTGTTTGGTTGGATGTTAAATAGAATAGAATACATAAACGCTTGATAATGGATGAGCTTAATATTCACTGAGAACGTGAGATACGATAGGCCCTGGCAGAGTAGGTACACAATTTTGTATGAAATGGATGTCAGTGTGATAAACTAGTGTTTCTTAAGAGGTAAGAGGTGGGAGGTAACACTTGTTAGTTCTCTGAAAATAACCTTTAGTTTGATTGTTTATTACAGCTCGGAATCTGTTGTTGCACACACGACATCGATTTATTATGATTTTGAAAAACTTACCCAGTTGCTTCGCTTTGCTTTGCTTTGCTTTGCTTTGCTTTGCTTTGACGTTGCAGGGGGCTTAGTTGGGTAGCGAATTGGTTCTCAGTAGAGAGTGAGAGGGGTCGCTGCATGTGCCAGGCAAATTGAATGGACAAACGAGATAATGACCAACTCAAGGGAACACACAGAGGGGCCAAATTGGCCACCCTGGCTCAAAATCTCCGGGTTTGTGCATTCAAATGCGGTCGATGCATTCAAAGAGTGCTTCATCTATTGATGGCGCGATCATTTGATGCTCAGAGCTAGTCCTTGCATTCATTTTGGCTCGTCGCCATCGATTGTGGGCCTTATTTTACCATCTTTGTGCGTGAATTGTTTACAAAAAACGTCTGCCCAGTATTGCGCTATATATATAGTAGTTCCATATATATAGATATCGATCAATACTCTCTAAACACTGCAAACACCTTTATCCGACATGAACTCAGCCCTGGGCAGAAACAACGACGATTTGGCCAAGAACATGCACATAAATAACTTTTTGATAAAGGTGTTTGTGCCTGACCTTGGCTTTCAACATTTTTAACGTTTTCTCTATTCATTTGTAATTTGCAATTTGTAATTCGTCTTAGAGGTCTTTCGTGAAACAATAAGGCAACTAAATAATTATTACTTTTAGTGGTATGCTGCATTAATCTGTTTCAAATGCGAAATTTTGTTAATCTCTTTGACTTTAGACTTTTGTTGTTTGTGTTGTGTAAGTGTGTGAAGGTTTTACCAAACAAACGAACTTAACTAAACGATAAGTCGAACCGAAATTAAGTATAAATGTTATTCAATCAGTAAATCAAAACTCCCAGATTGAAAGCAGACTTAAAGCTGAGTCCCCCCTTCGATCGAAAAGTCTGTTCGTCCTCTACTGCGGCTTTCCCCTCTATGTTGCAGGCTTGTTTTGGGGTTGACTTTACCACTAAGTTTTCCAACAGCTAGTTATACGAGCATGCGTTAAGAAAGAACATATATACGAACTCAATCTGGAGGCTTATATCAATATGCTTGGTGGCGGGGGTTGGTTTGGGTCAGCATGGGTAAAATCATTTGCTTTTAGTAAATAAAAAGTTGAGAAAGTAAAAATGTCCATACGGAAAGGGAATCTCGATAAAAGTCGGATGGGTTCAATACAACAGGACGGACAGGTTCAAAGATACCAAAAAGGAACATTTAATAAAATAAACTAAGGCTAAGCAAATGAAATCAGAGTAACTGAAAGGATACTTAAGCATTTTACTGGTATTTACAGAGAGACTTCGCTCAATTTGACTTGCACAACTACAACGGAAAAGAAAATCAAAACGAAAAAGCTATTCGCACAGGCATAGTTGTTGTTAATTAAGTATCAAATGCCTTTCATATTTACTTTACACTTGCTTCGCTTTCGCTTTCGGTGAGGTAAACAAACTAATTCAATTCAATTTGCAATGCATTGTTGCTGTCGAAATTTTGCCAATGTGGTAAGCCGAGAAATTAGGAAACTGAATCAAACTTGCAATTGCTTCAAGCACGAATTGATCTTAATTAAACGAAATACTTATTCAATTTGCATTTAATGCCCAATCAAGCGAGCATTTAGGCAAGTTATTAAAAGTCAATTAAGAGCGAGTAATCGTGGGGCCAATTGCCAATGTCTATCCAATGGGAAAAGGTATCGATACTAGATACTCGATACTCGGTACTCGTTATTCGTTAGTTAGTTGCAAGTAGTTGTAGGCAGTTAGTAGTTAATGTGTTTGTATAGTAAATAGCATTAGTTAGTTAGTTAGCTGAGCGAATATAATTGCTATCATTAACAACAACAACAACAACAACAAGAGCATCATCATCATCATCAGCATGATCATTATTATTGTCACTTGTCATCTGTCATCACTCGCAATGATAATCAATTATCATTAAAAACCATTTCAAGTGTGCTTGTGTGTATACAGCATTTGGCCTGTGTTACCTTTTTCCTGTTTTCGTCGTTTACGTTTATTGCAAATTTTTACGGCACAAACCGATAAAATGATCGCAACAATAAAAAACAGGATGCCCCCAACGACGCCGGCTGTTATAGCTTTATGTTTGACACGCGCCGGCACTGGGAATTTCACCTCATCGCTCGACTCGTACGACTTTTCCGAGTTGGCCAGCACGCGGAAATAGTAGGTGCGACCGCCAACCAGGTTCTTCACCAGATACTGCGTCTCCTCCGGCCGTATTTGGCCCCGATTCAACGTCTTCCACTCCGCATCCGTGCGATATTTAATGGTATAGAACTTGACAATGTGCGCGCGCTCCAACGGCGACTGCCACGTGATGAGGAAACCGTTCGAAATCTCCGTCACGGACACGTTGCGAGGCGGTCCAGGTTTCGGGCCTGTCAAATGAAAGGATATCGTATTAGTGTAAAGGAAAAATTTGATTGTATAAATTTAGTTTTTGCTTATTAACTAACACTTTTATTGGACTATACGTTGTTTAGTCATTTGTCTTAGTTTTCCCTTTTAGTTCATTTACATTTGTTTAGTGACACCCACTTACAAAGGGTTTTTGCTCACATGATGATAGACTTGCATTCATCTGGTGCGAAAGTGAGATGTTCACCTAGTACAGCGTTTTATATTCAAAACATTGAGTTTACCACTAAACTGGTTTGTCCTGCACTTGCCGCATTACTATTTTCATATTTTAATATTTATGTGTCAATTGTATTTAAAGTGTAACAGCTATTTTAATTGGGGGACTCCAGCAAAACACTAAAGTCGGGCAATAAGTGCTAGCCATTTACGTTAGCTAGAAAAAAAGTGTGATGATCCTGCTGCTGCTGCGGTTATTATTTATGCATATATGTTAATTAGAGATGCTTTTAAAGAGAGCACACGAGAGATTTAAAAGCGCATATATCAAAAGTTGATTATGCGCATAGAACGGCCTGCGCCGGCTGCACAAATGAGCACAAGAGTTTTGCCACCCATGCCTCGGCATCCCATGTCCTCTCCACTTTCCCTGTCATGATGATAAATATACCCCCAGATTTGACAAAATATAAACGAGACAGGTGACAAACATAATAAAAAAAGAAGAGAAAAATGTAATGGGGAAGACTGCCATGGGCCTAAATGAGACCGGCCGAGTGTGGGTCGGCCGTAAAAATGTCAAGGGTAGACAGGGTACACGGGTACACGCATACACACACACACAAATACACAGAGAGATAGAGAGAGATAGTCAGAGATGTAGAAGGGCGAGTAAATGTTATTTATGGCTGCAGCAAGTTGGCTTTGGCACTGGCACAGCCAGCAGCCAGCAGCCAGCATCAGAGGCTTATCCGGCACAAGCGGCCCACAAAGTGGGCTGAGTTAGCGGCTGTAAATCTGCAGTCTGCAAGGAAATACTCGTAAAAGGCATTACTTAAGCGCATTAAAAGGTACGCACACACAAGCACACACACACACACACACACACACACACACACAGGCACGCATTGAGGCACGACTTGCAACAGCCGTAAAATGTCATTGTAAACAATGCCAGAGCACAACGAGTGCGCACTTTGACCCCACGGCTGCCTAAGAGCTTGCAACGGACGTTGAGAGCTGAAAGTTACACTCCACCAGAAGGAGTACGGAGCAGGCAGTACGGAACAGGAAGCAGGCAGCTGAAAGCCAGCTAAAAGGCAGCTGAGAGCCAAACCAATGCTGCCTAGTAAGAATTGGACAAATGGAATCGAAACTAGAGTTAAGCTCTGATTTCAATTGTAATTTTGGCATACTAAATACTAAATAATATTTGTTATCAATAGAGTTGTCTCAAGAAAGGCTAAATTGGCAGCACTGGAACTTCGAATGACGCCAAGATCCGCATATATGGTATGCACCTACAAATGAAGTCTGTACGAGTAACTGAAAAAACATACGAGAAATATATTTGAATAAATTGATAATAATACGAGTACCTTCCGATCTCAACTTGGGCGGTGAATAAACTATCTTGCCTCGCGAATCGGTATGAAAGTATATATCGAAATAGGCTAAGGGGTCTGCAAGTAAAACAGAAACAAACACAAATAAAGCAACAAAACAAAAACAAAATCAAAATCAAAATCAACAGACTTAACAACTAAAGTCAAACACCTGCAGAAACCGAGATAAAGAATATAAGAGTGCAATATATAAAACATAGTGTGTGCACATTTAGGAGGTACAGTGCGAGAACCAAAAAACCAAAAACCGATATTAAAATCAGAGTATATATACTACAGGCATATGTGTGTGTAATCAAGTAGCTACAAATAGGATTGGCTGGCCGCACCCGTACCCGGGAGTCGTCAGTACAGAGGGGGGAGAGAGAGCCCAGCTCCTTGAAAGCCACTGAAATACCAACTCATAAAATAATCGATTAGTTTGGCTGGGCGGCAGGCTAGGTGGAAATACTGAAATACTTATTAAATGCCACCCCAGCACAAGGTTAGGGTATGCGCGTGTATGCTGTGTGTAAAACGGAAAATTACTTTTGCGGGCATAAAAAATGTGCGAATAATGTTGGTAACTGAACACAGGGCCAAACAACAGCAAAAAGCTGGTGCTCTGCAATTATGACAGTGAAATGCATTGAATATTCATAAATTCGCAAGGGAATACGTATGTGCGTGTGTGTGTGTATGTGTGTGTGTAGGGCTAGTGTGTGTGTAAGTGTATGTATAAAACGTTATCAGCCTTGACATGCATTTCCTGCTGCTGCTTTGTTTCCATACTTGTCCACGAAACGAGTAGAGTATATTAGTGCTCCTCTTATCCGTCCGTCAGTCTATTCGAGTAAGTCGAGCTGAGTCACCAAGTTTAGATATTGGCTACAGTGATACCTATCGATATGGGACGATCAGTTCCTTGACGCTTGGCAAATCGGAACACACAATTTGATTGCTGCGGTTCGTGAGCGAGTTCCGTGTGGTCGGTGGATGCCCATTCTCTTCTGCTTCTTCTTCTTCATGTTTTGTCTTTAACTATGTTTTTCTCGAATACCAGCAAGAAAATGTTCAATTCTTCGCTCAAGTGCCGCAGTTGCTGTCGTTGGCGCTGGCGCTGCCACCCGTCTGCGTTGTTATTAATTTTTAAGCGAGGAATTCAACAAGGCAGCCCGCGACACGCTTCACACATGCACGCACACCCACACCCACACACACACGCACATACACACACATATGTATATAGTGACAGACGTCGGTTAACACCGCTGACGTTATATGCACGATTAAAAAAGGAGCGAAAAAAAGAGAGAGTAACGAATACGAATTAAAAGAAAACACTAAAAGAGCAGAAGTAAAAGCACAAAAAAGGTAAAAAGAAACGAGAAAAGAAAGAAATAATATTGCTGTTTGTTATTTCTGCGGCGATGTTAATGACAGTTGTTGCAGTTATTTTCGTTTTCGTTTACATTTTCGTTGGTATCGTTGCTATTGTTGTTGTTGTAGTTGTAGTAGTTGTTGTTCTTGTTGTTGTTGTAGTTGATGGCGGCCCTGCAGCTCGGTGTTTAGCCCGGGTTGCTGTTTTTTAAATGAGGCGGTAGAGAGCGTGTGTGGGTGTGTGAGTGTATTTCTGTATGCATGTGTGTGAGTGTGTGAGAATGTGCGAGTGTGTGGGTGTGTGTGTGAGTGTATGTGTGTGTGTGTGTGTGTATGTATGGTGGGTGTGGATGGATGGTTTTGTAGGTGTTTCGCTACAAGCGCCAAAGGTACACACGTACACGAAATCCAGGGTTGCATAACACAACACACAACACGTTTGCTGTTAGTTATCGTTGTTGTTGCTGTTGCTGTTGCTGTTATTGTCGCTGTTGTTGCTGTTGTTGTTACTGTTGCCATTGCTATTGTTATTGTGATTGCTATTGTTGTTGTTGGTTTTGTTATTGTTGTTGTTGCTGTTGCTGCTGCTGTTGTTGTTGGTGGTATTATTGTTTAACATACGCGTGCGCTAACGCACCGAGATATGTATATACATACATACATATACATATATACATATATATATAGCTACATACATACACGCAGGGACACAAACACAGCAACAGAAAAGGGACTCTAATACGAGTATAATAAATTCGCTAAATGGGGAAAACACTTACATATGTATGCAGGTCTCTGCCTATGTGTATGTGTATGTGTATATGTGTGTGGGTGTGCGTGCTTCTCTGTGTAAGTGTGAGTGCGTATGAGTGTGTATGTGTGTTCGGGGGTGGTGGGAGCTAACTAGTGTTTTATGTAAAATACAGGAGCGAGACAGAAAAGGAGAATAAAAACGTAGGTAGCAAGACACAGACAGAGCGACAGCGAGAGCGAGAGAGAGGGAGATGAAGGTGGGGAGAGACAAGTGCGGCGCAAAGTGCGCGGGACAGAGTAAAGTAAAAAATTAACTATTATCGCAAAGCGGTTGGAAAAACACGCAGCGACGATGGTATTCAAATTGCCGCACCTACACAGCCGCATTTAGCGGTGTGGAGTGAGTGTGAGAGAGGAGGACTGAGAGTGGGACAGAGAGGGGGTCGGAATGGGGGAGGGGCATATAATTCTTGTCTGGCCGTCTGCAAGTCTGCCCGTGTGTTAAATGTGGCTCGACATTTGGTAATATGCTTGTTTAAATTACGCCACCCAGCAGGTAGTCGTGTTGTTGTAGTTCGTTCGTGTTGTTGCTGTTGTTGTTGTTGGAGTGGGCGTTGTCATATCGACCGCACGACCTGTGACACACGAAACAACAAAATGACAACACGCAGCATTGCCTCTCTCTCTGTGTGTGTATGTCTATGTGTGAAGTCGTGCGTGTGTCTGTGTCTGTGTGTGTGTTTCTCATTGTCTACGCGTCGCACAATTGTAAAAACAGTTCAATTAATTTAAATAATTAAATGAGCGACCAACTGTTTTAATTACGTTGCCAGAGCAGCAGCTACCTTACAGACCCACAGCCATCCACGGCCACGCCTACACATACTATACAGTTACAGCTACACGGGCTACGGCTACACCTGACTGAGAGTGCAACATGAAAATATAATATTCACATTCCAGCATGGCCTCTGTAAAGGATGGAAGGGACGCACATGTGCCGACTTATGCCCCAGGGGCGACTCGACGTGAATTTTGGGGCGTGCCTCTGCCGCCGCGATAACGGGGGCAAAGCCGAAAAGTGCTGTTGGGGCGGTGCAGGGGGTCGGAGTTTACGGCTCGTAGAAGGTACGTCCATTTGCCTAACTTTCCTGCTCGCTGTGTATAATTGCTCTGAATATTTAATTGTTGTTTTTTCGTTTGCAACCGGCTAAGTACTCGCTGTGAGCCGCACAGATTGAAAGTGCCTTTTTTGAGGGTGTTTCTATTTGTGGCACATGCAGCGGAGTGGCACGTTAGCCTCAGAATATAATAAATGGCTGCAATACAAAAACCATTTTTATCGCTGCCATCTTCCTCGCTGTAAGCCCCGAAGATTGAGTAAATTTTTCACAATGTTTTTGTGGCCCAGCCCGC